AATTTGAACAAAAGAATAGCCACCAAATGATTAGAAAATCTAAACAATGTGATTTAGGATCGACCAAGATAAAACATATGAAATTATCCTTTCCTAAATCTTAAACAAACTGAGGAACTTCTATATGCTTAGGAATTGAGTTAGACAATTTCTGTGTTTGGTAGTTAATTCGTACAATTGATTGTTCACTGATTAGTGACGGTCGAATTTCATCGATCAATTTACAATGTGGACACACACAAGTGCACGACGATGCTATGTCGATTAGATCGACAAATCAATTTACAGTCTTCCATTAACATTTAGAAGTCGGAATATAGCAACTACTTAACTAGTTCTATGATTTTATGGGGTATTTACCAAATGAAAGCTGCTCCTAGAGGTCAGTTACAACTGTGTGAATTGGGTTAAAACTCATGAACATTATCGGTTTCCTCAAGATTACAGATAAGCCAACAGGAATAAAATTTAGTATAAACGTCGTTATCTGCTGACTATTTACAGAATGTCACGGGAATTTACGATGATTTAACCCTAAATCATCAAAAAATATTATACAAATTGAGATTGAAAGTCATAACAAATCAGAATGATGGATTTCGGATGGAAAGTAGCTTCCAGGACATCTGACAGACACACTCCAAGTAACGACAGGAGTCAAACAAGGTTCCCAACTCTTCCTCATTCTCTTTCTCTTGGTGGTGGTCGACTGGATGATGAAGACTTCCACATCTGAAGCAAAGAACGGAATACAATGGACAGGTTGGATGCAACAACACGATTTGAACCCTGTAGATCACCTGGTCCTTCCATCTCATATACATCAACGAATGCAGGTCACGACAAACACTGTACCAACAGCTTCTGTAGCAATAGGCCTCAACATACATAAACGAGAAAGCAAGATCCTCAAATACAACACCAACCCAATCATACTTGATGGAGAAAATCTGGAAGAGGTGGAAACATTCATATATTTGGGTAACATAGTCAATGAACGTGGAGGATCTGACATAAAGGTGAGAAATGACAAACAAGGGCAGTACTTCTTTAACTGAAGAACATATGAACCTTAAAACAAATGTCTTCAAGCCAACATCAAATTCACAATCTTCAATGCGAATGCTAAGATAGTTCTACTGCACGAAGCTGAAACTTGAAAAACTACCACAACCATCATCAAAAAGGTACAAGTAGTTGGGAAAAGACGTTGGAAGTGGATATGACATATATTGAGAAAATCACCAAACTGCACCACAAGGCAATCGCTAGCTTGAAATCCTGAATTGAAAAGGAAAATTGTACGGCTGAAGAACTCACTGCATCGGGAATCGGAATTAGACATTAAAATGATGGATAGCAACCGGAAACAAGTGGAAAGGATTGTGAAGGACAGAGTTTGATGGAGAATACTAGTAGGCGACCTATTGTCCATGACAAGGCGTAACAGGCGTAAGTAGCTTCCAGTAAGTGTATACACAAACAAAAATATAACCCACACAACTAAAAAACCGACACTTCATCATGTGGACTTGATTTCCACCACACTTTAAAAGGTTTTCACACACACACACGCACACACAACATAAAGATATCCACTTCAAACCTTACAAGATTCTTAACATTAGATACAGAAAATCGATAAATCGATTTTTATAGTTTAAGTTCCTTTTCATGAATAATGACTGTATGAAGATGAAGTTTAATTTGTTCTCTAAACGATCAAGATAGCAACAATAATAAGTACATCAATACAATTTATTCAATATTGATTTGAGCAAAACAAACAAACTATAATTGTAAATTAAAACAACACATTATGGATTCACGCTATGAATTCACGCTACTACCAGTAGTAGTAACACATGATTATATTAAAGGTACAAAATATCAACATGTTTATGCAATGGATATATAATATGTGTAGGCCTCTTCATATATATATATATAAAGAGCGGATATTCGAAATGGAATGTTATGCAATATAGTGATAACGAAGATCAATTTTTGTGTTAGAAAAATATATTGTGGAATAACAAAACTGTATAACTTCAATTCCAAATGAACTTAATTCATTTCACATGTAAACGTGATATATACATTCGGATTTTGAGACGATCAGTATTATAACCAACACAAAATCTGAAAAATATGTGTATCCGTTCAAGTCCTCATACTGAAGTAGTTGAGCGTGTCGAACGATTCACTTATCTTGAGAGTAACATCAGCCTTTGTGGTCTGGTGTGTGACGAAATCTTAACACGGATACAGAAAGCTCGACTAGCTTTTGCCAACTTGCATGACTTATGGCGTAGGCGAGATATCTGTCTACCAACCAAAGGACGAGTTTACTATACAGCAGTTCGTTCCGTCCTACTTAACAACAGTGAAATATGGCCGGTAAGAGTAGAGGACATTTGTAGGTTACTAGTATTCAATCATACGTGACTTAGAAGCATTGCTCGTACATCCTAGGACCATCGAGTAAGTAATGCAGTTATTAGGAAACGGGTACTAGGTAAGGATGGCAAATCAATTGATAAAGTAATGAAACTTCATCAGTTGAGATAGCTGGGACACGTGTTACGTATGCCCAACCACCGACTGCCTCGACGAGAGATGTTTTATGGTGTAAGAGTAGGTTGCAAGAAAGTTAGCGGCGACCAGACCAAAATATGGCAAAAACCCATGAAGTCACTGACAAGTGGACTGAGCCATGTTATTAGGTGTAAACTACTTGGTTGGGATCCGCGAGAAGATAGCAATCGATGGTTAGAGACCTTGAATGACATGGCTCAAAATTGTTAGCAATGGCGCAGGTGCATCCACTCTCTGTGTTCTCCCAAATTCTAATCTTCTGAGTTCTTCGTGTCCGTTTGTTTTTTTTTCTTTCCAAATTTATATCACTGGATTATACTCCTTAAATAACATCTTTAAACTAATGTTTCCGTTTACTGCTTAAACTTTTACTACCTCTACCACTATGGGATTTGAATCAACATTGTATCTCAGTGCTAATGTGGTATGGCAAATTGAACTGACGTACGTAGGTACGAAGTTCTAGGTTGTTACTGACTGACTGCCTGACCAACACCGAAACGAAATTATAAAAACAAATATCACAGTAGTAGGATTAGTAGTAGAAGTAACAACAGCATCAATGACAGTAGGAAAGATTAAACCTAGACAGTATGATTCGAAAGGAAAAACTGAATTCACCGAATCAAATGTGTGAGTCTATTTTAAAACTCAACATATGAATGAATGCAACTACTTCATTCTGACCAGTTCTAAACAACGTCACTCAATCTTTTCAACCATTGATTACAGTGATCATGCATACAGCAAGCGAGTAGTTTGTATGTACCAATACAGTTCAATCCAACAGTCGATAACTTCATGGAATAAAGTAATGTTTTGATCTACCTTCACCTAGCTTTCTTACAGCTCACTCATACCTAAGCAAATATCATAAATGACGTAAGTTGGAAAAAGCCAAACGAACGCTTTGAATCCGTGCAGAGATTTCGTTAGACACTAACCCATTAGGGCTGATCAGACGAGACAAGAAACAATTTAGTTACATTTCAGTCAAAATGAACAATTATAGATATAGACAACAAAGTTATTACACTTTTTTATAATTTCACTGTTCAGCATCTGCCGAGTTTTTTTCAATAGTCATCTAATGAATATCAAATCGTGATGTTGCCAGACAATCGACAGAAAAAAACATAAGGGGAACTTGATAAGGAATAATAATAATAATAGAGGTTAAGCGTTAGCGTGAGAGACTGATAGGTCCTGCATTCGAATCCCACGAGTGGGATCGTGGATGCGCACTGTTGAAAAGTCCCAAACTTGAAGGAAACGGCCGTCCAGTGCTTCCAAGTTTTTCATGGTGGTCTAGACTTAATTGACTCATGAATTCAACTATTGAATAATAATAACGCCGATTTCCGTGTACAGATTAAAAAAGACGACAGTGTCCAAAAAAGATAAATAATCAAAAAATGAAATAACAGTATTCGAAATTTCAAGAAAGATATTGAACCAGATCACACATGAAAAAATGTTCCATTACAGATCATAAAGACTTCGTAAACACGGACGAGAAATTAAGATTAAAAATCAAACTAACGAATTCATTAGGTACTTGGGTATAAGTAACACCTTAAGTGTGACGTTTAGTGATACTATTCGGTTGTCCAAACAGAAATAAGTAGAGACGGGTTCAAGCCTGGGACTTAGTGGCTGAAAGTTGAACGCCTCAACCACTAAGCTATCGCTTCTCTCACCAACCACCAGAAGACCTGTGCATATGCCAACATGATTAAATCGAACTTTTGATGACATGATGTGCAACTGTCATATCCTGAATCGATTATTCCAAATGCGGTCGAGGCTAAAGGAAAGTTCGCTCTCCCTCTCGAAATGCTCTCACATGGCCACGAGAATACAGCCTACTCATTGCCTTCTCGAGGCATTACTGTTCCTTACAAAATTGAGAGGACGAAAAGCGAATGTCCGGCACTTTAATAGTGTTGGTGGACACGGTGGATCCACCTAGAAAAGTTGGAAAACCCTCACTCCAAACCAATGGTGCGCACAGGTTCCAGGATTCCGAATGAACAAACGGAGTGTGAACCAGTTATTGGTCACCGGCTATCATAGGACTACATCTCCTTACGTTGCTCTACTGTCTTGTAGATCAGACCTATAGATTGAAGGATCTGGGTGCGGCCCCCTTACAAAATCATCTGCTTCGTTCTGGGCATCCGGGCAGTCCACACATAAATCAAGTAGCTTGTGTGGCGCATATGTATTCGGTGCCCCTTTCTACCGATATTTACTTGTTCAAATAGATAAACAGGATGCACATATGCCAAAAAGAGGCTGACAAATTGCAGGTCTTAACTTCAACAACGGGAGGATAGAAATATCCGCTATAAATGAACTAACGTAAATATCCATTTAAAGAAGGAAGAGAGAGAACTTACTTCAAAATTGACTAGCAAATGTTGTGAACTACCATGTGGTACTGGTGTACATGCCATAGTATTTGCTAAACGACTTGTTATATTTTTATGTGGTTGAAAACCACGACCTCCAGACGGTGGTGCACTACAACTTAATTCAATTGAATCCATTTCTACAGGATAATTACGTCGTCTTGCTCCTGTTACTGTATGTCGATTATTAGAACCACCAATGATAGAACTATTAACAGTATTACGTTCAAATGATTGTTCTTGATATTGAGATGTAAATCGTAAACTAGATGGTCGTCGACGAAATGATGTAATAGTTTGATTTGATTTATTGCTATTAGTTTCATTATTATCATTACTACTGTTATCAGTATTATTATTGAATTTTTTGTCAGATTTTAAACTTTCCATCCCTGATGAAGGTTCTTGAACATGATCTGTATTGATTTCACTGGAATTTTGCAAATTATGATTGTATACCATACAAATAGAGCTAAAAAAAAAAGAAAATAATGGGTATTGAACAGAATCGATATATAAAGATATTAGGAAAGAAGAAGAAGGAGACAAAAAAGAGGTCAATAATTGAACGTGATCGGTAATTATATTCTATATAAATTGAACAGATAATAACATTATTTGATACCCTGCGGAAACGCAAACTTTTAACCTAAAGAACCTTGTATGTTTTCGATTAAGTATGAATACACATACATAATATAGCCATAAGATACCGGAAATATTGAACCATTTAGTAGTGGTGAAGAGGAAGGTTGAGTAACACACTACGTCGGGAAATGGAAGCAGATATGAAAAGGATGAATAGCAACTGGAAAGGTTTGACCAGGACACGGTTGGATGGAGAGTGCCGGTGAGCGGCCTATGCTCTTCCGTGAGAAGTAACAGGCGTAAGTAATCTTATATCATGATTACAGATATTTTTATTGTGAAAGGCAGCGATAACAATTTTAAAAATTGATGTTAGAACCCCTTGACAATTTCTTGGAACTTTTAGAAATCAGTAAAATGTTAGGACTTCTCCAAGCAATCAGCGTTTTTTATTAATACGATCATGAATTTGTTACTTATTTTAGTATGCTATTAACAATTTCTTTCCGGAATCTCAGGGTCACTCATAATCCTGTGAATACCCTTGATTTTTGTACACTCATCAATCTTCGAAGTAAAGCTTTTTGTATACTCCGCAACTTGTGTTTTCTGTATGGAGTTCACGAGTAGAAGACTTTTTACAACCAGAAAGCTAATATAAAGTCTAATTATTATTTATGCACAACATAAATCAAGAAATTTTGAACGGGAAATAAAATTTGATCGTTTTAGAAAAATGAAATGCTTCTATTATCGTTCTGGACAATAAGATCAGTGTCCGACTCAAGTATATGTTAATCGACGTAGGTACTGACGAGATAGTCCAGAACAATAACGAAAGCCAACTAAGAGAACGCAACAGCCTGTGATTTAATTTTATGAACCAACCGTTGGAAGTCAGGTTTAAGTACCACCCATCAAGACCTGACGTAAAACTTTAAGAATAGTATCTACATAGAACCTGGAATGCCTTAGAGTGACATTGCACATGGAATCGATACTGATCGAAGTTGAAAGCTGCCCTGGTACGGCCGAGGGTGAGGAAAGTCAGCTCTTCCTCTCAAAATGCTCTCACATGGTCACGTGTATACAACCACTGACAGGGAAGCCCTACTCACTGCCTTCTCGTGGCATTACTGTTCTTCACGAAGTTGAGAGGACGAAAAGCGAATATACGGCGCTTTAACCAGGTTGGTGAATACGGAGGATCCATCTAGGGAGTCGGAAAACCCTGATTCCAAACAAAATGGCGTATGAACCTATTGTTGGTTACCAGCTACCATCAGACTGTATCTCATGACGTTGTTCCATTGCCTTGTGGATCAGACCTTTAGGTCAAAGGCTCTGGGTGTAGCCCCGTAGGAAAATTACTTGCTTAGGTCTGGACATCCAGTCAGTATCACAGCCCACACGCAAATCAAGTGGCTTGTGTGGATCATATGTATTCAGTGCCCCTTTGTACCAATATTTGTGTTCAAACAAATAAATAAAGTGGGGTGGGAATCATGATCTATTAAAGACAAAATTATTCTGTTTCAGTGTTTAGGACTCTTTAACTACAATTAATTCATGATGTAAACTATGGAAATTCAACAACTCAAATAATCAGTTCCCTCTCCCACCTGTAGCAATACAAAAATTGTCTTGATAAAAGTGTTTAGTTTTGCATTAATAATAGTAATAATTAATGTATGTATTGATGTTTAGGACTCCAATTGATCAGTCTGTTATTGGCATATGTGCATGCTCTGTGGATGGCCTCGATATTGCCTTAATTCACAAACATTCTAAGCAAAGACGAATAATGGATAGCAGTGGAATCTAGGATGAGTGTTTCGTCCCATTCGTGACTAATCAGAAGGATGTAACTGTATCTCAGAGTTGATGTTTAACCTGAGACGGCTGACACATTTGGAAACATCAAATCATTCAACTTTATTTATTAATCAACCTTTAATTTATTCATTTTAACCATGTAAAATTCTTTCACCATTATTAATTCTAATCCGTAACACCACCTATGATCAAATAATCACAAACTTTTTATGCTAAGACTTAGGCTACTACTATGACACCACCGAATTCCATACTGAACACTTAGGTAGTTGGAAGTAGTCAGCGAGAAACCTTGTTTTCCTGAGGTTCTGTACTAATTGGAACTTATAAGCAAGGTGTATCGGCAATTCCGAGGTGTCGCCAAAGAGCGATTCAGGATATCACTGACTCCGTGTACGAATTACATATCTATAATTGATTGGTCGTTGTGTATTAATTAACATCATGCTTGTCTAGTGCTTTAGTGCTGACCATATTCTACTGATCAAGTTGTAATGTAGAATACTATAATTATGGTAAAACTAAAACAAAGAAATACAATTTGAATTTTACCTTCTAGATGTTTTCATGCGATTCAATGATAAATCGAAATCAAACTTTCCACTTGTACTTCTTTTGAGAGGAACCTAAAAAGTATAACAGAGGTGATACATATTTCATAAGAATTGAATCAAATCAGCAAATTGATTAATCAAATGATAATGGTTGGACACAGACAGTTGTCAAATATCTTCAGGTAAGAGATCTTGGGTTTTCGATATTTGGAACAGTATCTTCAACTGGAGCACTTTATTCTTTATTTTCAGAACGAAGCTGGAATGATGCTAGCTTAGAAAGGTAACTTAGATCCATATATTACTTTCGTTTTTATTATACAAACATTAGATTTGTGTGACATATCACTAGCATCAAATCCAGACTGTTGCCTCAATTCTTGGGAAAAATCAAGGGGTACGTCATCTGATTTGTGTTATAAAGTGTCTCAGCATTCGAAATATCTTTTAGAACGTATCATTTAGGCTGCCTAGATTCAATAGTCATGAATTAAACAATAGTTAGCAGAAATAGCTGGACAACTCAGCTAGATGAATTAATTGACAAAGGGATTTTATCTGTTTTTTTAAGCGTCTAGGTACATCATTCCACTTGCAGATTGTTTTAACAACATCAACTTTCGTGCATTTGACAGCTTGAATAAGATAGAATAAGTTACAGACGATAGCCAAATGTAGCTACATCTACCATCTTTACAACGCATTTTGATTTCTAGATTTTGTGGTTAAGTATGTTCACATTAACAGTTGGTTTTTACGAGCTAACCCCATGTCCACTTACTACTAGTCAACAACTGTCGTACATTAAAGAAGACAGAAGCTGGTTACATGTAAAAAAATCTAGTCAATTGAATTATGACCGATTCAACTATTTGCACTGTCTATGATTGCTAACCGAGATGAACAATACACACTTTTTGTTGGTCTTATTAGACCAAAGTAAGCATTAAGAAATATATATACCCACAAATGCCCTGGTGCAGCCGAGAGTGGGAAGAGTTCGCTTTCCCTCTCAAAATGCTCTCACATGGCCACATGCATGCAACCACTACCAGGGAAGTCCTGCCTTCTCATGGCAGGGGTGTTTATTGCGAAATTGAGAGGACGAAAAGCGAATATCCGACGCTTTAAACGGGTTGGTGGACACGAAGAGTCCACTTAGGGGAGATAGAAAACCCTCATTCCAAACCAATGGTGCACATGGGCTCGAGTATCCTGAAGTAACAAATGGCGTATAAACCAATTGTTGGTCACTGGCTACCAGGGGACTTTGACCTTTAGGTCAAAGGCTCTGAGTGTGGCCCCCTAAGAAAACAACCTGCTTCGGTTTAGACACCCGGATAGTATCCTAGCACTCACATAAATTGAATTATTTATGTGGCGCATATCTATTTGGTGCCTCCTTATACTAATTTTTATGTTTAAATATAAATAAATAACCATATATATGTGACTTACATACATTTCTCCAAACAATTCACTGTACAGCATAATTTCTATCTAATTAACATATAAATATGTAATTTAATTGTTGATTTCATGAGTCAGTGAAAGCTAAACCACTATAGAACATCTGGAAGCACTGGATCGTCGTTTCTTCCTAGTACGAGACCCCTCAACTGTCCAATGCTTTCAGGTTTTCCATGGTGGTTTAGCTTCAATTGACTCACAAATTCAACTATTAAATTACTATAATATCCATAAAATCCCTCTCTGAATATAAATATGTCCTATAGAGCGATAACTTGCGTAGGTTAGTAAAACATAAAACAGTCTTTATATTTATGTAATAAGCAATCAACCATAAAAGTATATGAGAAATTGAACATTAATGGAATGGTCTATACGTTACTTAATCCACCTAGTGACAAATGAAAGTACCATATATATATACGTTTATCCATTAAGCCAGCGGTTGTCTGCTTCTTAATAATCATAACTGAAATAAATTACATTTATTAGTTTATAATTGAAAATGTACTAAAAGTGTATTATTTATAGATTGTTTTACGTCTTATGCTAATGTTAAGCTCCTTCATATTCAATTCATAAATTGTTTTTCATTTCCTAGCAACCTCTTTCCCTCCTCCTCCTCCTCCTCCTCCTCCTCCCTTCTACCTCCCGAAAAAAAGTATTAGAACATTAAAGTGTAGCAATAAATGGAATTCCTTTTTAAAATGACATACGTCATTTTAAACAAAGAAAAGTAATGTAAGTTCTATTAATACATAAATTACACAATATTACCAAATATAGGTATTGTTATTTCAATCAAAAATAGAGAAATAAACATTCAATGTAAAACAAAATAGAGCAAAAGATAACATGAAATGATGATGTAACTCAAGTATCAAATACCAAATAGTGTACTCAGGTTTTAGTCATAATTTGTGTATATAGAGTAATGATATTATTATCCAATTGATCAGATCAAAAGTGAAACAGAATTCAAACTTATAATCTAGTTGTTAAAAGTCAAACATCTTGATCATTAAATTATCGCTTTACGGAGTAAGTAAGTGATCAAAATGTGGAAAAAGTACTTCATTATAATTCCTGTATTACCTTTTGTAGTAACTAAAATTTATTAGAATTTTGGAGATAAAGTATAAAACATTGCGAGCAATGGTTATATATATAGCCTATGCCAAAGAAGTCCCACTCACTGTCTTCTCGTGGCAGGGGTGTTGTTTACATAATTGAGAAGACGGAAAGCGAATGTCCGACGCTTTAACCGGGTTGATAGATACTGAGAGTTTACCTAGGGGAGTTGGAAAACCCTGATTCCAAAAACCAATGGTGCACATGAGCTCCAGGATCCTGAGAGAACAAAAGGCGTGTGAACCAATTATTGGTCACCGGCTTCATATCATTCTACGTACTAATTCTTTCTTCTTGTACTATATCCTTATATGGAATCTTTCTTTTATATATTACGACCATTGAACTAACTACTTCTATGAATTCGGTGTTCATCTTGCTGTGCTAATGCAGTATGGCAACTTAGACCGATGCATATATGTGCCTAGTCCTACGTTGTAGCTGACTGACTGACTGACACCGGCTACCATGGGGATGCATCTCCTGACGTTTCTCCACTGCCTTGTGGATCAGATTTTCAGGTCAAAGGCTCCGGATGTTACCCCTTAAGAAAATCACCTGCTTCGGCTTGGGCACCCGGGTAATATCACAACCGTAACACAAATCAAATGAGATTTTTGTGGCGCATATGTATCTGGTGCCTCCTTGTACCAATATCTATGTGTTCAAATAAATAATGTTTCAATGATTCATAAACTCAACTTCTAAACACTCAATAATTCTTTCAAAACAAATGTATAAGATATATGGAAACTTTACAAAACAGTTTGGAAAGAACATATCTTCATTTATTACATCAGATTATATCATGTGATTAAACTTCAAATTTATAATAAGTCATATTTGAGTGGGACTTAGTGATAAGAAACTTTACTGATAGTTACAGTGTTTAATTCATCAATTAAGGCTGTCGGAACGTGTAATATGTATACCCAACCACCGCCTACCTCGACACATGATATTTGCTTAGGTATGAGTGGGCTGTAAGAAAGCTAGGTGAAGGTAGATCAAAACATTACTTTATTCCATGAAGTTATCGACTGTTGGATTGAACTGTATTGGTACATACAAACTACTTGCTTGCTGTATGCATGATCACTGTAATCAATGGTTGAAAAGATTGAGTGACGTTGTTTAGAACTGATCAGAATGAAGTAGTTGCATTCATTCATATGTTGAGTTTTAAAATAGACTCACACATTTGATTCGGTGAATTCAGTTTTTCCTTTCGAATTATACTGTCTAGGTTTAATCTTTCCTACTGTCATTGATGCTGTTGTTACTTCTACTACTAATCCTACTACTGTGATATTTGTTTTTATAATTTTGTTTCGGTGTGTAGGTATAGTGTGGGGACTTGAATTGATACACATGTTTGTCAGATTTTGTGTTAGTTATGACTGACTGCCTGATAGCCTAAGTTATTTTAGCACAACTACCACTGTAAAATTTATTGTTCATGGTATTTGGAAAAGAAACAGCTTAGTTGGATACAGCTAGGACTAAGATAAAAGATCCGTCGCTTCCGTCATCTGTCGTATATAACTGATCAGAAAAGTTTATTGGCTCACCTAGTGGTCCAGCAGTCACTGGCTATTTTTTCAGACTGACTGTTTAAAACTTACTCTTCTAAAAATTCTTAAATGTCCTTTTTTATATTCAGTTATAAGACCAGTGAACTATAAATGAAGGTTCTGATATGAACTTTTGGAATTATGAATTGATCTTTCAGGTTTTATAACACTGAGCAACATGGCTCAGAACTGATTGCAATGGTGTAAAAGTATTCACTCTTTAACGTCCTTTAGATCTGAAGTTCCAGTATTTATTCGTTTGTACCTTTACATTCAATCTTCGGGAACTATATTCTAAAACTTGAGTCTTTCTTACGGTCATTGTCATTACAACTGCTTCAACTCTTAAGCTGTTGCACTTATTAATTTATTCTCTTTGTGATGATGTGAGGTAGGAAGTCGGACAAACGTATATTTTTGAAAGGTTATATATTGATTATGACTGAGTTATCTTTGCACATGAAATTAAATCCAAATTAGTAGTGACTATAGACAAGATGATGTATCAGACTAAGGATTTTCTTTATAACGAGCTCTGATTCAAAGGATCACATAGATCGTAATTTCGAATTTTTATCAACCCGCTTACATTTGAGAAGCTAAACGATGTTACTAACCTAAACACCAAAATATATCGCTCATAGCTGAGTAGAGGAATTTGTACTTGGTTAATGAGTGGGATCGGTCAACTAAGGCCATGACTATTTAGCTATTAGATAGAAAAAAAGAATAAATTGCCATATAAACCTTTAACTCTGTATAGTTTATAGGCCAGCTTGGTACCAAGTTGAGTTATGTCTCTTAAAAGCGACATTGTTGCAATAGTGAAATAATTACTCTAATGCAAGGAAAACAATAGCAATATGCTACAAATATTTCGCATTATTACAGTTATTTAGGCACATTGAATAAAGGACAAAAATGTAGATATGTGCCAAAAACCACAACCAGAACTATGGGGTATCATGACACTAACGAATGAACTTAGGTGATATAACATTGAAAACTGCAATAACCTTCAAATGATATGCAGAACAAACTCCCAAAGAATTGATAATAACTTGGAAATGAATAAGATGGCACGATGAAGTTTATCTATACTCAAGCATAGATTCACAAATAATATTTTTGAGTGAGTGTACTAAAAAATTGATAACGAAACCTTGATATCACAAAATGATAATGTTTACGTTAACTACCAATTAAAATAAGCTATTCACTAGGTATTTGAGTATGATCCACACTCTAGGAGGACTAATAATACTACCCGGTAACCTTAGTCAAGGCAGATGGAGTGGATTTTGGATATCAGTCGAAAGTTAAACCCACTAACCACTAGACGACATTTAAACAGTAGTTGAATTAATAGAATTTTCGCCATTTAAATCAAAGTCAGGGTAATATGTAGGATATTATCTTCCATATAAATAGCTGCAATACTAATTTATAAAATGTGATGACGAGTTAATTATATTTTAAGATATGACTTTGCCATTCATGAAGTATATCAGTTATAAAACGATCCTAATAGAAAATAGTTTTCACATGCCATTATGAAATATCCCGGTTCGACTTATCACAAATTAATCTTAATAAAACCAGCATAGTATGTTTAGTAAGAAAATGGAGGCTAACAACCCTTGTGAGCACTCATACAGTCAAGATCTGGGTCTGCTTTTAATTTTGCTCGCTTAAGAGTCACACAAAGAATGGAATGCTTCAAGTCGAACACTTGTCACCTAAACACATCTACTTCAGGATATCATATACAGAAGTTGTATATTAATAATTTTATGTACACCTGCCAGATGAGTGAGAGAAGAACGTGTTATCGGGGTTTCGAAAAATAATTGGAATTCGAAAGACCAGACTTACCGGAGATGATTGTAAAGGCAATCCAGTACGGCGGTTGAAGAAAGGAGTGCCGTCATTGTGAAACGATGATGAAGGCCAGATGGAGACAGAAGTAGCGTTTCGTCTCCTGCTTAATCTAGGCACCGGTTGAGAACTAGCACTCGGTGATGTTAATAGTACTGAATCCTCTGAATCTGTGCCTAGCTGAGATTCAGATGTATGGTCACGCTTTTTAGCCGTACTATAGCTGAGTTGGCTACATTGTATGGAGTCTCTGTGCACATCGAAGGAAGAAGAAAAACAGGCATTAACAGGTGGTATACATACTGAACCAGTATTCGAATCGTCAACTGAGTTCATAATTAGGTCACGTTCGACATTCAGTAGCGTGAATTCTGCAATTACTTTGTTAATACAGCCTTCACGTTGCACACCTGGAGTTTTGTTTATGGTAGGGGTGACGGAAGAGGGCATTTCATTGGAGTCATCTGAATCTTTTGTTTCGGAACTAAGTTCATGAGCGTAACAACTGATACGTTGCTGTTTACGGGGAGGTGACTCTAGAGGAATCTGGCATATTCTATTGGAGTCAGTCAAACGAGATGACTTTTTTGTTAAAGTCGAGTGACCTGATTCGGTACAATCCAAAGAAGAGCAGGGTGGTAGGATGCTGTAAAAGGGGTTATCAAACGTAGATTGTATAAACTTTTCTTCTGTATCTGCCATGACAACAATAGGACTTCTGACAACTTCTTCGTTTGAAGAGCATTTAGGTAAGTTAAGAAGGTTTGGCGGATGTACATTAGGCTTTCCGTAGGTTGTACGAGAAACAAGTGTAGTGTTCTTTTTACGAACATCCAAGTCTACAAGAGTTTCAGGTGAATGACATCTAGCACGACTAAGCATAGTGAAGCTATCTTTATTCGTTGAGTAAGTTGAATTTAGGCAAAGTGGACAACCAATAAACTGTTGGGGAAGATGTTTTAGCGTTACAACAGTGATGTGCAAAATCTCCTTTTCACTAATACAAACAGGTGTAAAAACTCGTTTAATAGGACTTTCACAACCATCCATCTGACGAACTATTTTTGAGACTGAACTACCATCATGATCATCATCTTGACTGTTTTTATTCCTGTCACTTAAACAGTCCATACTCAGTATATCTGATGCATCCATAAGAAAAGAATCACCCACTTGAGAAATGCGATCACATACATAGGATCTGTAAAGGAAGACAAACAAGAATGGAGTTAATAGTACTAAAAAAAGACAACTAGTTACTAAGTTTAGAAAAAAGATGACACCAACCTGTGAGTAAGCTTATATCTGCGAGGACGACCTGGTTCTTTGATTGCAGCCATTAAAGGGGATGTTTGTATATAGTCCAAGAGCTCAATCTGACAACCGGAAATAGAGATTCCCCTATTTTTTAAACTGAAAGTTTCAAATGAGACAACAGACAAAATCAAATTGAGTGTAATTAAAAACAAATACTATGACTAGTAAATTCAGGCAGATTGCCTCAGATTACAACATTCTAAATACCCAAGACACAGAATAATAACAAAAAATCAAACAAAAGAGTGTGTGAGCACATTAAAAGTATCGTTGAATTACTTCTGAGGGAGAACTTGGGCTGTCCATTGCTCCATAACATAGACAGGAAGCTGATTATCTCCACAATGTTCTAAACAGTTTTCTCCGACTAAAAGTGTTTCGATGGTTAGCGTCAATTTATCGCACTGAGAACTTCGCCGAACATCATCACAACAATTATCCTAAGAAAATGTGTTAATCGAGCAAGCAACATGCCTTGGTAAACGCTTTATCCCCTTCATTCTTATTAATTCTAGGTGTCCCGACACTAGCTCCATCTATATATTCAACTAATCCGCCATAGATTTTAGATTGCTGAGACAATATGAACCTGCATATACATTGTAGGACACCAGGACTTTGGTTGCTACCACATAACTTAGAATTAGGGACTTGGGAAATTAGTGATACTGTAACGCCTGAACCTACTTGGTGCATTTTCTAAAGAACCATTGTCAATCATGCTTAAGGATTTCGGGATTTAGTATTAATTTGGATATTTAATTAAATAGCTTTGCATGTATTCACAGAGATTGTCCCAGACGTTCTAAGGCAAAGCTACCGTTTTGTTTTTGGACATGAGTGTTGAAAACTGCAATTCATACATCTGTTATGTTTCTAGCTTGTTACGCCTAAGTGATAAGCTACACGCCACGAATGACAATCAGCTGTTTCGATGATGAAGACTAGAAAACAGCTGATAGGTCGGGAGGGTCCAGGTAACCTTGATAACACTTCAAACAATACTGAGATTTTACCTAACAAAGAAATATTTCGATGCTAACCACTATAAAATATTTCGTGTTTGTTTTCAACTAAAACTTAAAGTTTCAATTCTTATAATCCTAAAGCAGACTACTCCTTTTTTCTACTTACAGTATCTGGATTCAGATTCTTCGAGTTGAAACTGAAAGTCATAGTCTTGAGTTAGTCCTTTTGTAGCATGTCACTATATTTATCCAGCTTTCTTTCGAAAAAGACGATGAAGGCATCAGATATTATTTTTTTCACCAGCAGATTCTAGGATATGATCGTACTGGGTAAACTGGTAGTTCTTTGCTTCCGCTTTAATTCGTTAACTGTTCTGAGTTGCTATAATTTACTTGATAGGTTAAAAGTCATTTATTATCCTACTGTTCACAATTCCTAAGTTATCTGTTTATCTTGTAGGGCCAGCCAAATGTCACTAAGCCCTGGCCAAATCATCCGGCAGTTGGGTCATTGATTATCAAACAAATCATCGATCCTCGTCAAGGTAAAGGACAACCAACGAGCATCAGTTAATCGTATGCCATGGACTGGTCCGTGCGGCAGTGGTCTCACTTTCGCTTGTATCTACTTTAACTAATATACTTCTGTAGTAACGTCCTCTGTGTTGTACAGTCTTCAATTTATTATTTATTTATTTGAACACATAAATATTGGTACAAGAGAGCGCCAATATATATGCGCCACACAAAACAGTGAGAATGCGAAGAGAAATAGAAAAAAAACTAAGGAGCGCAAAAGAAAAAGAGAACAATAACGAAGAGATTGGTGTAAGGTAGTGTGGTAGTAACGAGGTACAATCAGAAGAGATCTTTCAGGTGAGGGAGACACAACCACTTTTATGAAGAAAGTAAAAGAAGGTTACAGCAGGTTCGCCACTGGCTTCTATTCTGAGCCATATCTGATAACGTCTCTAGCCACTGTGTAGCACCATCTCTCAGACCCCAACCAGGGAGTCGTGAAGGACCGACAGAAGCCAGTCCTTCGCAGCTTTCTTTCATGCCACGACACCATGTCATGCACTGACCACCTCTCCGCTTCTTCCAACCAGTCCCAGAGTCGGCAAATAATGCACGACGTGGAATTCTCTGGGACGACATTCGGAGAACATGTCCAAGCCACCGAAGTCGGTGTTTCAAGATGGTGACACCAATTGAATTTGGCGGAGGGTGAAGATATGATCAATACATCCTCGACCAGAACGAAACCCAGCCTGCTCCTCGCGAGTCAATCTTTCTCGGGTTTTGAACAACCTACGAAGTATGATGCAAGCCAATAGCTTAAACGCAATCGGAAGTAGACTTATCCCCCGATAGTTGTTGCAGGAACGACGTGAACCCTTTTTAAAGATAGGGACAACTATCGACTCATTCCATGACGTTGGTACACTCTCTAGTTCCCAAACCTTTGTAGACAACGTCGTCAGTTCCTTAGTCAGAAAGTCACCACCATCTTTAAAAAGAGCAGGAGGTAGGTCATCTGGGCCAGGTGATTTGTAACGCTTCAAGAGTTGGAGTTCCTTGCGGACTTCCTCCTCATTTGGTGGATCAGTCGTCACCGGCCATGGAGGGCAGGACAGTCTGACCGATGTTGCCGGAGCAGCAGGCCAGTTGAACTGCTCTTCGAAGAATTCTGCCCACTGTCCAAGACGTCGATGGATGTTAGTGATTGGCATCCCATCATCCTCGCAGATTGTTTCACTCACACCAGACTTCTTGCTGCCAGTGGCTCGGATGAGTTGGAAGAGCTTCCGGTAATTACCGGATGCAGCTGCTGCTTCCAGCTCATTAGCACGCTCCGACCACCAGGCTTCTCGGTCCTTACGCAAGCTTTGCCCAATTTCATTACGTAACATCCTTCGTTTATGGTCAAACTCACGGTCACACGGAGTAGACCGATGGGCTTCAATGAGTTGTAAGGAGTCTGAAGAAACCCAGTGCTTAAAAGCGGGACGTTTCGCGAACCCACAACTGACTGTTCCCGCCATTTTCATGGCGTCATGCAATTGCAACCAATGCTCATCTATACTTTTCGGTGGAGTGGTAGCTAGCCTAGAGGCTAGCTCGGTTCGATACTTACTTGTAACAGAAGTTGCAACCAGCTTGCTAATATCAATCCGTTGATGGTCACTTCGTTGTCCACTGAAAAGTAGGGCAAGATTGGCGCAGACCAAGGCATGGTCAGAGTCCAGATAGGTACTCCAAAAGAAGCGGCACTCTTGTACACAACCACGTCAGCGGCAGCTGATCGCGATGTGATCAATCTGAGTCCAGGCTTGAGATGCAGAGGGAGGACGCCAGGTGGCACATCGGCGATGACTGTGCCGAAAGTTAGTGCTAGCCAGAAACAGGTTGTGGTCTGTGCAAAGTTACAGTAGACGGTCTCCGTTATCTGACCTGCGACCAACGAGTCCCCATCGGCCACCTAAACGACCCTCTTCTGTGCCTAGACGTCCGACCTGAGCATTCAAATCTCCGGCTAGTACTACAATATCTGTCGAACGCACTTTCTGGAGAACAGATAACTGGTGGTAAAACTCATCCTTGATTGCATCCGGGCTGCGATCTGTCGGGGCATAGGCGGAGATGACGAAAAGACATCGTTTCTCACGCCGACATCTCACTTTGATGGAACTCTCTAATCTAACAGCACATAACCGACTGTTAATGGGGATCCAATCGACTAGTGCTACCTCAGCTTTAGCGCTTAGTGTGACACCAGCGCCAGCAAGACCAGACGAAGATGCCACAGGGTCCCCGGATAAGCGCACGTAAAACAAGCCTTTTGAAGCGACAGATGGAGGTCGAATTTGTAGTACTTCGCCAGAGTCTTGAATACGGGTTTCGGATAGACAGCAAACATCGATATTAAGACTTTCTAAAGACATAGCCAGCCCTATCTGTTGTCCAAGATGCATAAGTGTGCGAACGTTGAAGGCAGCCAGTTTGAATGGTGCACGTGGTTTCAGAAAAACTGCTTCAGATTCTCGTATTCGGTGGTAACATACAATTTTCAACCGGACAGTGACTCGAGAACGTTTAGATATAGTCGAATTTCCACCAAGGACGAGCCGCTGTATAAGTATAAAAGAGGGTGAATAATGTGGAAAATAATAATAATAATAATGACAATAATAGTAATAATAATAACAGTATTAATAATGACAATAATTGTAATGATAATAATTTGTATCAATTGGTTGTTTTTCGAAGCGAGAAAAGTAATTTCCATATACATAAAGAGTTCATCATTTGTGTGTGGGCTGTGATACTGCCCGGGTGCCCAAACCGAAGCAGGTGGTTATCTTAGGGGCCACTCCCCGAGCCTTTGACCTAAAGGTCTAACCCACAAGGCAGTGGAGCATCGTAAGGAGATGCAATCCCATGGTAGCCGTTGACCAACGATTGGTTCATACGCCATTTGTTCCCACAGGATACTGGAGCCCATGTGCACCATTGGTTTGGAATCCGGTTAAAGCGCCGGACATTCGCTTTTCGTCCTCTCAATTTCGTGAACAACACCCCCACCACGAGAAGGCAGTGAGTAGGACTTCCCTAGCAGAGGCTGTATACGCGTAGCCGTGTGAGAGTATTTCGAGAGGGAGAGCGGACTCACCCCACTCTCGGCCGTACCAGGGCATTCGGGGAGCACAGTCTTCAAAGCATCTATGGTACCTTGATACGTCAATTGGGTAGTCCACGTAAGGTGCTGACCACGAGGTTTGACTTCGACGTTGGCTAGTTTGTCGCACCATTCACGTCTAACTCGAGTAGGCCTCCAATCATTTTCGACATGGATCATCTACGTTGGCTATCTACAATCTTATATAGACGCGTAGATTTAATAATATGTAGGACCAGTGAAATGTCACTGAGCCCAAGCCAAATCATCCTACGGTTGGGTCACTGAATCTGGAGTAGTTAATCGACCCTCGTGAAAATCGAGAGCAACCAACATACATCAATTAGTTGTGTGCGATGAACTGGCCCATGCGGTTGTGCTCGCAACTTCTCCTTTGTACCTACTGTTGCCAATACATTTATGTAACAACGTCCTTTGTGTTATGGAGTCTTCAAAGCAGCCATAGTACTTTGATACGACGGAGAGATAATCCACGTTTACTGCTGACAGCAAGGTGTGACTTCTAACTCAGCTGTTGGTCACACCATTCCCGTCTAACTCTAATAGGCCCCCTATCACTTGGCATAGATCATCTGCATTGGTGATCCACAGATTTCTATAAACACGACGCTGTATGTGCTATGTTTTTTTTCAGTACACGTTTCAAATGCACAGACATTTCACTTATGACGAATTAATAACTGCGTCACCATTAACGTTCAAACAAATATCTAGCGGTAAACAAATCCTCAACATAAATAGCTCTATAAGTCATTACCGAGTAAAAATGTATTTATTAAAACTCCGCTGATGAATCTATTTCAAATCCACTCGCTGAGATTTCAGAAATATATTCTTCCTCCCTAACGTTCCACATCAACTCGGCGCCCAAATACTGTGAAACCATTCCTTTCGGTTTCGATGAAAGTTCTTATTTAGCTCTGTTAGTCTTTAAAATTTATGCTAACATTAGTTTTACTGGACGCATTTGCTGAAAGCTTCCTGTTACTCACACCAGATCACGTATATATACCCCGTGTTACACAGTTCTTGCAACTGCTAGCCTACCTACATCGAACGCTTTTCGACATATCGATGGTTTACCAAAACTATCTTCGAGCCTCTTCATTTCTGACTTCTGATTTGACTGCGTGGTATACTTTGATTATAAAAGTTCTACGAGCCAAGGAGTTGTCAAATTCCGAATACTTATGGCACCTTCTAATACCACCTACTCCGTTCCATTTTCTGCCTTACCGGCTGCAGTCTTTGTTTGATTGCAACACTTCTGTTGAACGTTTTTAAGTCGCTCTCCACATTTTAGGGAT